CTCCTGTGCACTGTGGAGTGCGTGAGAGAACACGAACAAGATACAAGATAAAAATTAAAAAATTTCTTGTGAGGAATTCTGAGAATTCGTAAAAAAACCTCTCGTGAGGGATTTTTCATAGCGACTTCAACGTTTTAAAAATAAACTTAATTAGACAGACAATATATACCGCATTCTTTCTTCTTCCTGTTTCCTCTGTTCTTCTTCTAATTTCTTTCTCTTCTCCTCTTCTTTCTTTAGCTTCTCTTCCTGCTTCTTAAGCTCCTCTTTTTTCCTCTTCTCTTCTTCTTGTTTCTTTCTTAAATTCTCCTCCTCCAGCTTCCGTTTCTCTTCTCGTTTCTTCTCTTCTTCTTTACGTTTCTTCTCTTCTTTCTTCTTCCGTTCCTCTTCCTGTTTGCGCTTCTCCTCCTCTTTTCGTTTCTTCTCTTCTTCCTTTTTCTTCCTTTCTTCGTCTTTTCGTTTCGCTTCTTCCGCTTGCTTAGCTTGTTCCTCCTTTTTTCTTTTCGCGTTCTCTTCCTCGGCCTGCCGCTGCAATTCCTCTTGCTTTCGTAATTCTTCCTTCTTCCTGTCTTCTTGCAGCCTAAGATTCTGCTCTTCCTGTTACGATAATTAACATAATTCTCAGTTTCTTTCGTTATACAGGGTGAACCTCGTAACACGACGAATGCAAACAACTCGTATTTGTTGTACGATAAAAATTTTAAATAAATGTTGCTCTGCTTTTTATTGAGATACAAGGGCCACCTTCTGGTTTTTAAACAAAATGGCCAATACTTTTTCTAGAATTTCAATAAAGCATCAAATTCCGAACAAAAAAGTATTATAGATAAATAAGACATTGTTTGTGTCTTTTCTTATCTTTTTTTCGCTTAAGCACTTATTTGTTTTTCCTTTCAACAAATAACTTATGAAATAATCCAATACACGAATTTTATTTTCTTCTGTTTATGTTGTTATAATTCCTACCTTCTTTTTTATCCCGGATTTCGCTCTCAAGCATAC